TTAAATATTAAATTAATGATTTTGAGGCGAGGTAAGTTATTATATTAAATTATGTCTCACTGAAACGAAATTCCGAAAAATCTATCCTCGTAAAAAAAGGCAAAGTAGGTATATAAATCAGAAATTGCTCGAGGCATTTGGAGACAGTTTTGCCTAAAGTGGTGGCATAGTATTTGCTCCATATCTGATAAAACCGCCAGTTATGTTACGAAGGAAGCATCGGATTTTTCGAATTAATAGAGAGTATAAAAAAATGATAAAAATAACAATTTCGAAAATGTGATATTTGCATAATTTAATAAAATATATTGTTATTATTTCTATATGGGACTAATATTGAAAATAAATTATTAAGGTTTTAATACATGATTTTAGATTTAGTGTCGGAAAAAAAATATATTTTATATCATAAAAGTTGTTAAAAATTTGGATAGAAAATTTAGTTGAATAATTTTTGGAGAAAAAGTTTTTACACATTATAAAAGTTTTTAATACATAATTCGAATTTACAAACAATAACAACGTTAAATATTAAATTAATGATTTTGAGGCGAGGTAAGTTATTATATTAAATTATATCTCACTGAAAGGAAATTCCGAAAAATCTATCCTTGTAAAAAAAGGCAAGGTATATTAATCAGAAATTGCTCGAGGCGTTTGGAGACAGTTTTGCCTAAAATGGTGGCATAGTATTTGCTCCATATCTGATAAAACCGCCAATTAATTATATTACGAAGGAAGCATCGGATTTTTCGAGTCAATAGAGAGTATAAAAAAATGATAAAAGTAGCCATTTTGAAAATGTGATATTTGTATAATTTAATATAATACATTGTTATTATTTCTGTAAATGAGTATAACATTGAATATTAAGGTTTTAATACATGATTAGAATTAGTGTTGGAAAAAAATAACAAAAATATTAAATTATTGATTTTAAAGTAAGATGAAATGAAACTGGAAATATCTTTTGAAATTAAATTTGGAATAATATATCCTTCTACATACGGCACGGTATATTAAGAATTGCTCGAAAGCATATAAGGGCATTCGTATTTAAAATGGTATANCATTGGCCATTCACCATACAAACGGAGTCTGGGTTCAATTCTCCGCAAGGGCCGTGTACCATGAAAGAGGTTACAATTTCATACAGTTCCGGTTCTAATTGCGGATCTGGTATTTCTGCACTAATGAATGCATCAATTCTGCGAGGGTCTGTTAATTTATCTCCGTCTCTTAGAATAAGCAGATTATGACAATGGGGTAACCCTCTTTTTTGGAATTCTATAACGTAGAGGTTAGCTACGTGTACCCCAAAAATGTGCTTTTTCAGCACGTCATCTATCATTTCATTTAATTTGCACTGGAATACTCTATCCATGAGAGATGGGTGGTCACTCGCAGTATAACCTGCGGGAATATTATCCACTATTTCTGGCCATCGTGCATTGGTTGTCATCGTAATGAAAAGGCTGGGTATACCGAACC